GAGCTAACTGGACAGATTTTTTTTTCCTAGAGTGATTTTCTGCTTTGCCTGAGCATGTGACTAATACAATGACTAAAATCTGTGTGACTCAAAGATTTGAAGTTTGCATTCCACAGCTGTAAATTGTCTTAGGTTTACTCAAAAAATTGTGATTTTGGGGAAAAAAAAAACCACTATGAAACAAACAAATGAAAAATACAATGAAAAATAGTCAAAAGTAAAAAAAAAAAAAAAAAACAAAAAAACCCAACAAAACAACAAAAAACAAAACCAAACCAAAAAAAAAAAACAACCCAAAATGCAAACAACAAAACTACAAACAAAAACTGCAAACAAACAAACAAAAACCCCTACAGCACCAGAAAAAAAACCCAAAAAGCAACAAACCAGCAAAATCCTCACTCAACTCTATACTGGCCTGCACACTATGCATTCAAAACCCCTAGTGAACACTTGCACTTTTATGCCTGAAAGGAGCTCAAGGACAAGATCTGACTTTCTCCAATTTTCTTTATTTTCTGTGGCCCATATTGAAGACCAACTTCAAGGTAACTCAAGACACCCATATGATGGCATGACATATATGTGACTATGCACATGCATGCTCACAGGGAAAAACAGGGGAATGTAATCAGTGTATGTGAAAGAAAGAGATCCTTTAAGTATTTTGCTTTGTGCACTACACTGTATTTCTGACCCAATTTCTTTTTTTCCACCAGTCCAGTGCTCTTCCTTCTATCTCTCTTCTGTTCTGTCATTGCTCAGAAAAACGAACTAGGTTTAGTTCTAGCAGAAAAATCAGGACACAAGCCCTCTTTGGGAATAACTGCAGCTACAGCACACTCTTGAAGGGCCTGCCTTTCACTTAATGCTTTTGCACTGCCATTACTTGTGTTATTGTTTACATGCCCAAGAGAAATTTTGGCTCAACATCCCTGGCACCAAGCCCATAAGAAAGATGGCCATGGCGAAAGGCCTTTTTTCATGAAAGGGCCAGATCTGAGGGGAACTAGAATTGTTTGTGGTCTTCCCAATGGCCTGCCACCATTGCAACAGGATACCTATGGAGTTTTTTGGGATTTTTTTCTAGCACGTGTATCATAGCAGGGGTCCCCGTCAGGTAAAAATTAGCATTGACTCCATGATTCCAAAAGGCTTATCAATTGCTTTATTATGTCATACTATACTATTAGGAAACACTCTGCCCTTGCAGACAGTCTGATACAGACAGACCACATTGGTCCTTGAATCCAAACACCATCACCAGTGACCAATTAAGAAATCACCCTTTGGTTAAACAAATCTCCGTAACACATTCCACATGTGCACAACAGGCACAGCAAGTGAAGATAAGAACTGTATCTCATTCTTTTCTCTGAGCTTTCTCACAGCTTCTCACATCTTCCCAGGAAAATCCTGGGAGAGCTGTCTTTCTCTGTTCAGAGGATATGTGATTACAACACGCGTGGCTTGGGTCGGGACCAAAATTGGCACACTGTGTGGAGACAGTTGTTGAAGCAGCCCTAAGAAGCTGAAAATAACCAGATGGAGTTCTGGCTTGGATCAGCTGGTGGCTGATCCACTCATTAACTTCTCTGAGAAGTCAAAGGAAGAGAAACGTCTTCTTGCAGACTTAGGTTAATTTTTCATTGGAGAGAGCACTCTAATTTATCATTAGAAGATTGGAAGTCAGCAGGATCCAGCCTAATATTGTGCAAATAGTTAAACAAAATTACAGAATCCTAGAATATGCTGAGTTGGACAGGACTGATGAGGATTATCGAGTCCAGCTCCTGGGCCTGCTCAGGACACCCAATGAATCACACCATCTGCCTGAGCTGAAAGGTTAAACAAGGATGCTGTACTGACTGACCATGCAAGAGCAGCAAGTAACAGTGTCTTTATGCTCATCAAGAGAAACAAATCAACACCAAGCTGATTGCTCAGCTCTCTGCTCAACAGCCTGCAAGACTCGCGCAGAATGCACAACCATAAATCAGTGTGAGACAGGAAACATGGATTTGTCATTTGTCACAGATTACAGGACTTGGCAAACCTTGGAAACCGTCTCTTACTCACTAATCCATGCCTGTACCAACGATATTTCTGTGTTACTATGGTACCTGTATGTCAGATAAGCATTTATTTACAGTGACAAAACATTGTCATTGTAGGAAGGGTGAAAGTGTATTCTTTAACATGAGTTAGGTAACTGGTGTGAAAGTCAGAGGGAAAATAAAGGAATTTAGCTATATTGTTGGGATCATGACAAGCTGCAGGCAAGAGTCCTCAGGTTTGTTGCTGCTATGACTGAATCCCAAGCGACCTCCACTGACTCAAGCAGAGTAGAAGAAGTCACTGCTCTGTAGGAGTTGCTTTACCCTGCAGGAACTACTAACACATGCAAATCAAACATACAGAGAGCTCTCCGGGGACAAGGCCTCAGAATGTGCTTGGAGTGGATGAACTGGGAAAGAGACATGTACTGCATCTGTGCTGTATCTGAGGATGTATTGATTGAGCATATGCATGCGTAGAGAAATAGGCACTTCTACTAATGACAAACACAAACCCTACTTTCCACACTTGTGCCTCATATTCAATGTACACTTCCCCCAGAAACTTCAACAGCTTTTGGTGTACATGCAATATATAACATACCTTGCATTCTATATTTATTTACTGCACAGCCACACAAATATAACACTTCAAAATATAACACTTTTCAGTTTAATCACTTGAAAACATAGCCTTTATGGAGTGATGAACAAACTGTTTCTATTCCTTGCTTTTCAAACCATCAATGCCGAAATGTCCAGCATAGATGTCTCATTATTTCCATATATTTGCTACATTGGGCGATAATATTCAAGTGATAGTTTTATGTCCAATTCTGACATGAAAGAACATAAGTGTATCAGCACTTTCATTGAATTCAATGGCAGAGCCAACTCATAGGAGCCCATGTGAATAAAGTGATTTTTTACAACTATTTGCATATCTGGGTCAAATCTGATTGTACTGCAGGAAAGATACATATCATTTTATGTATTGTAATTTTCATTATTTCAGTTCAGAGATCTCAGCTCAATCCTTAGTTGTTCTTTTGAGATTTATAACAACAAGTATATGAGAGATGTGTGGAAAGCTGGGACCTAAATGGTGCTATAATATATGTCTATGATATGTTGTCTATAGATGTCATTAACTTCAGTGCAGCAGACAGGAATTTCTGGAGCCAGCAGGATACATTTTGTGATTTCTTTTCCGTCTAGAAGATTACAGAGACTGTCCATCACATTTGGCAAAAAATCTCAATTATTTATTAATAGAGTCCTTGCTATCTTCATACAAGCATTTTACAAATACTTTTTGAAATGAAGAAGTTAAATGAACATGCAAAATTAAAATACAGATGAAAATTACTGTTTTTTAATGAACAGAAATCCATCTGATTAAATAGCAGAAGCAAGCCTAGCCCAGGATAAAATAGTTGGAAAGGACTTAAAGAGATCGTGTAGTTTAGCTGCCTGACCACTTCAGGGCTGACTAGAAGTTAAAGCCCAAGGTGAACAGCATGGTCCAGGTGCACTGACAGGCACAGAACATCAACCACCTTTCTAGGAAGCCTGTGACAGTGTTTCACCATCCTCTCAGCAGGGAGGTACATCCTAATGTCCAGAGCAGAGAGATCAGACCCTCCCTCCCAAGGTCCCCTCCTCAGGGAGCTGTACAGAGCAATGAGGTCACCCCTGAGCCTCCTTCTCTCCAAACCAGACAGCCCAGAGCCCTCAGCCTCTCCCCACAGGATCTGCCTTCCAGCCCTTCCACCAGCTCAGTTGTCCTCCTCTGGACCATTCCAGGACCTTCCCACCCTTCTCAGACTGTGGGGCCCAGCACTGCACACAGGACTCAGGGTGAGGCTGCACTAGGGCTGAATCCAGCAGGATGATCCCAATCCCAGCTGGTGCTGCTGTGTCTGATGCACCCCAGGATGGGATTTGCCCTCCTGGCTGCCCGGGCACACGCTGCTGGCTCAGCCTGAGCTGCTGCCAACCAGCACCCGCAGATCCCTTTTGCAGGGCTGTTCTACACACACTCCTCTCCCAGCTTATACTTGTGCCCAGCTTTACTGCATCCCAGGGGAAGACTCTGTATTTTTTCTTGTTAAATTTCATGCCACTGATAATTACCCATTGCTCCAATCTATTTCAGATCCCTCTGGAAGGCCTCTTGTCTCTGAAGAGAGTCAATAGCATCTCCTAGTTTAGTGTTGTCAGCAAATGGCCCATTCAAGTCCTGCATCCAGATCATTGATAAACTTGATAAACCAGAACTGGTCCTACAGTGAATTCCTGAGGAACACTGGTGATTGCTCACCAGGCAGATGTAGCCCTATACACTAAAACCCCTGAAGTTCTGACATTCATCCAGTTCTTCGTCCAGCACACTGTGAACCTGATCATCACAGCAGCTTGTCCAGAAGAACACTTTGAGGGACAGCATCAAAAATCTTACCAAAATCTTACTAAATATTACTAAAATCAAGAAAAGCCTCACCTACCACCTTCCTTTCATCCACTAGGCAAGTTACCTTATTCTAGATGGGTATCAAATTAATTAGGTGGGACTTTCCCTTTATGAACTCACAATGACTATGCCTGGTGATTGCATTGTCCTTGAAATACCTTTTAACAGCATCCAATTTGATTTGACAGGCATCCAGTCAAAACATTTGTCTTCTGGACTCAATTCAGCAGTGTAGAATTACTGTGTATCCTTTTCCTATGTTGCTGCCTCTTACAGCCCATACTGAATATTGCTCAGCCATTCACAGGCTCTTGAAAGAAAAAAAAATTTTTGTAATTGCAGGCTTCCCAAAGCCCAGTGTGTACTTTACATTCTGAAAAATTTCTTTTTATCTTCTTGCAAATTTCCTTCCAAACACACACAAAACACTCACTGAAACCATGAAAATATACTGCAAACAAAATGGAAATAAAGCAAATTATCGTTTTATTCATAAATATCAAATAACCATAATTATTTCTGACCTTCAAGACTATGCTAAAATGGTAATATAAGTTTCTTAGACCCTATATTAGGCCCACAAAACCTTTTACTTCAGGCTTTCAGTAACTACATTTCTCTTAGAGGAAAATGTTAATTCCTCTGCTTTTAGCAAATCTGTTGCCTTTCTTATACTTGCATTTAATGCTCATCATTAACAGCTGCTGTGTATAAATATTTACTCTATTTTGTTAGCATGGTATCCAAGGAAATGATGTCTTTGTGACAGTACATTCTCGTTTTATGTCCTTCCTCTCCCCCACTAATAACATTTGAAATTGCTGGCCAATTTTTCTGAAGGAGTAGAGGTCTTGGAAAATTCCTTAGCAAGGTCATGAAAACAGGCAGCTGGAGAGAGGATAAAGGATAACCAGACATGAAACTGAGATCAGCTCAAGGCTCATAAGCAGAGAAAACCATACTATGTTCTTACCACTACACTTTACTTGTGTATTCCTCTCTTCATATTCATATTTTCATATTCCTCTCTTCATATACTGGTGCCATATTGGTTTTAACAACCCATTGTCTCTTTCTTGTTTGACGTCCAAGGTCTATGAAAAAGTGAAAAGAACAGGCTGAGCCCAGACAGACTTGGCTGAAGTCTTTGGAAGACATTTATACACAAGCAAATTCAATCAGAATTTCATGGATGAAACATCCAAAAATCTCATCTCCAAAGGTGACATACTCCAGTGATTCACAAACAAGTTCCTCTGCTGTTTTTGTAATATCATCAGGGTTTTGGTACATTGTCACTGGAGCAGAAACACCATCAGGAAGCACTATCTAAAATAAAAAATAATAGTAACAACAACAGTGTAGTGCTATCTAATACTTACATAAGGCACTCTGCAGAATCCCATAGCATCTGACATATTTTAACTGATATTTGCAATGGATTAGGGCACTATATGGAATCAGTGATAGTATTATGGTGAAATAAGGGAAAAGCTGCATATAGAGGGGAGACAGAACTTTTGCAGAGTCACCCAGCAGTTCACTGAGGACAGCTACACGATACGGATTTAGGCATCTCAAATATTCTTGGAGAATTTGCTAAAACAAAGGCTAATATGGCAAGATACACCAACACTGGTATGATAATTACCTTTGCTTTATACTCTGCTTGTAGTGGTTGTAGAAGTGCTTATAAAAGCCTAGATAGAACATAACCAAACCAAACCAAACAAATCATTAGCATAGGAAACTAAGTGCTTTCACTGTGTTCAGAAATGTGTGACCATGTCCTCAACACAAACAGCCTAACATTGTACAAGCTAAGTCCCAGGGCAGTGGTGTAAAATATAAAAATAAAGCTTTCAAGATATAGCTTCTGCTGGTGCACCCGGGCCAGGCTGACTCTTTCTCTGTGCCAGAAAAAATGGAACCTGGCACTGCCCTGAGCTGGACATGCAACAAGTAGTACTGCAGACTGCATTGCAAGCTTTGAGACCTTTTAAAAGTAGACATATACATCCCCAAGTCCCACTTATTCTAGATATTGTTCCATGTGGCTCTCTGCTCTGGATGATCCCTCCGTACCAGACAGACACTTGCACTTGTTGGTTTTTTGCAATGAAAAGTGGAGCAAAATGAAACTTGTGCCTTCAGTATTCACCTAGTAGCATAATCTACAGATAAATGTTTCAAAGTCAAGCATTTCTGAATTTGAAGGAAAGTTTTAGCTTCAATCTTTTAGATTTATCTAAGTTTTTCTCCACATCATGAAGAGTATGCATATACTGACTTTATGCAAATGTTGAGTTTCTTTCAGGAGAGATTTTAGGAGTTGGACCTTTTTGAGAAATAGTCAAAAACTTGATGATGTTGAATTGCTCCTCTGTAATTAAAAATATAAAAGTCATAGTAAGGAAAAAAAAAAGACTGTTTTTCAAATCCATCATTTGATAGTCTTAAAATTGCAACACCAACACTGTCATGGTATTGCATGATACAAACAAACAAAAACAACAAAAAAAAAAAAAAAAAAAAAAAAAAAAAAAACCACAAAAAAAAAACCCCAAACCAAAAAAAAAAAACAAAAACAAAAAAAAAAACAGGCCAAAACAAAAGAAACCCCAAAGTTATAAGATACCTGAGAATGAAAAAAGACAAGGAGACAACATAATCTTACTAATGTACTATATCACTTGGAAGTAATGTTAAGTAAACATTTTAAACATTTTTAAGGACCTAAAATTGTCTGGTTTGAATGAAGTTCAAATTTTGAGCAATGAAGGATTTATATTGAAGGAGAAAAAGGAAATAGAAAATGATACTTTCTTACCAAAAATATACCTTTTTTTGGCCAATCTAAACTTTAGCTACATTCAAGAAAATATAATTCGAATTTTTAATTTGAAAGAAACCTGAGTTGATCAAATTAGTTTTGGAGTTTTATTCAAAATCATTCATTCCTCAGTTTTGCAAGTTCATGGATTCAAATTCAGAGAAAAAATTTAAGGTGAAATCTATGAAGTTAGGCAACTTACCAGTCACCTACCAGAATTTTATTCTTGGTTCCATAAGCAAAATCTAGCACTTTTGTGCATCTACAGTTTTAAGGAAGCTAGATAAGTGAGCCTAGAAAAATTCATCACTTCCCAGAATTAAGACAAATTGTGAGCACTGCTATAATACTATTTAATCAAAGGCAAAATCATTCCAAGGATCAGATATACCCTGAGCTGATTTCATGTACATCATTTCATTGATTCCTGGTTGTCAGGTAGTGCTAATTTATGTTACTTCATTATTTCAATGGAGCAATGCTATTCATATACTCATCATTCGTTATATTGATACAATGCTTTGATAAACACTTAATGGGGATTTCTTCATAAAGCAGTGTGGAAGACTTATCTTAGTAGCTGAGTACATTGTATATAATGGACAAGGGAAAGTACTTGAACCAGAGGACAGATTCACAATTAGAACTTTCTGACTGAAATTGAATTTAAAAAGTTACATTCTGTTTACACTCTATGGGATTATAGTAAAAGGTTGCATCAGCAGAAAACACTTTTTTCCCCAGAAGGCATAACTCTCCTATACTGTCAAGTGTGCCCTCAAAAGACCCCTTTTTTACAATTTAGTTTGGTCTAAACCAGACAGGAATAATGTAATAAGTGAAAATGAAATGCCTGCCACAGTCAGAACCATGGGAACATTGTACATGCAATTGTACATCTAACAGAGAAAAAAGTCTGTCATCAGAGGAAATTTTTTATTCTCCTAAGTAATTGGCTGATCCCCTTTGGTCTCTAGCCAGCACATTATTTTTCCTGCTCCATGGATCTGTTGGTTTTGTTTCCCCATTCACAACTCCCTGTACACATCACTAAAACCCAATGCATTTAGCAACAATGAGATAAAAACAAAACAAAATAAAAATTAAACAGCAAGAAGTGTTTTTTCTGCCAAAACTAAAAGCATGTACTGGCCTCTAAAATGCAGTATTTAACAATATTTTCTAGAAAATCCATCCATAGTGCCAAACTTCTAGTTTAAGTACCCCATGTCTAAAATACATGTAGTTTTAAAAGGAAGACAGGGATCCTTAATCACAGAGATGAATTAATATCGCTAATTAGTAATATGGGTATTTCCAGAGCTTGAAAAGCATTATTCCAAGCCAAACTACCACTCTTAGAAGAACAGATGATACATTCCAATGCTGTTTCTTGCTTGATTAGGCCCATCACATTCTCTTATATTTCTGCCACACATTTTTAACTGGGGACAGATATATATTTTGTTTCCTGCTCTGTTCTACAATTGACTGACAATTTGTGGGAGTTCCTATGCATATAATCATAAAGCACTAACAGAACTAAAAGATACCTTACTGATTGATAGAGTGTGAAGTCCAGAAGTTAATGAAAAAGCCTAACTACCACTAAAGTCTTTGAAGGTAGAAGCTTAACACAGTTCAAAGTTATAGAAAAAATACCTTGCTTGCATCTGTTTCAAAATTATTTTTGTCATTTATAAGACAAGTATTTTAAGAATTCTTTCCATCCCCCATCTTCCTGACAGCATTTTTGAACTGATTTTATTTTAAATAACAGGTTTTTTCACTTGATCAAGCCATATATATACAGCTCAAATGGCTAAAATATGGCATATTCAACATTTTGGAAAATATTTTAGAAATTCTTGTGGCCTGAAAATCATCCGAGTTGTCAGAAAATTCCTAAGGTTAGCCTCTAAGCAGTGAGAGTCTTATGTTTATCCAAAGCTTTTCAACAGTTTCTGAATTTCATAATTCTTCAACATGGAAACATAACTGCAAGGAGAACGTCAATTCCATGTTCCTTTTGCATTTTCACTTCTGCCTGCAGCTGGACAGAAATTGTAGAAAATCAGGAAAATATATCAATTTTTTCTGCTTCCAGAAAGAGATGTAGGACCTGTTTTAGTGCTAATTTTTTTTTTTTTTCATTCTTATTTTAGCAATAGACTTAATCACACATCTGATTTTTGAAGTGAAATTAGATGCATTTGTTCAGGTAAGAAATCAGCTTTTCTTTGTGCTTTTGAAGGGTATTATTGATAGTAAGCCTAAGTACCAAGGCGAAGTCATACTTGCACTATGAATTGTGTCAAGACAGCAGTGCGATCTAATTTGTAAAGGGCAGTAGTGAAAAGTAGTGCAAATTAATGGCACCGTTTAATTGAACACTTGTTATTTCCTGATTTTTTTTTTCAGTTATGTCATTGTGCTCAAGAAGATAGTAGGAGCAATGTGGGTTGATAAAGTCTGACAACACAGGGCAGTCACATCAGCATGGATGAAGAGGGATTTCCAAACAAAGCACAAAACATGAGAAAAGATCCTTCTTTTGCAGTGCTGAAAATCCCAGTGACATCTGTGGGAGTCAGGATACCTGGACCTCAGGCATTGCACTGAGAGAAATGGCAAATGGGATTTTAGCAGGAATCCAGAGAGGGGAAAGGAAAATCCAATATTTGGACCTAACCATGAGGAATGCTGGCTAGGAGAGTACTTTCTTCTCTGTAATTTGGAGGAAAGAGAATATTCGTGAAACACTCAAAAGAATGTGGTTGCAGCAGTGGGGAAAGCAATGCCCAGACACTGCAAAAACAAAAGAGATTGATTCTGAGATATATGTAAAGTGGGAAATGATGAAAAGAAAAACCTTCTGTATCCAGACTGAGAGGGTACAGAATGGCCTATATATAGCATTCAGATATTGCCGATATTTCTGTTCTTTTGACATAGAATATATCCTAGGAGCAGAAATGTCACAAAGCTACTTACAGAATGTGCTTCCATTGACTGGTATTACATGATTTACTATCTTGAGTCATTAAGCAGCAGTACAAATTTGGGATGTAAATTTTGAAAGCCAGAGAAGGACAAACATCTGCTGTTAGTTTTCATGCCATTTTTAGAAAGACATGAAAGGCATGAAAGCCAAGGTTGAGATCTTTTGCTCATGTTCATGTTAACATGCTGCTTGCAAACAGCAGAGCAATACAAATCTTAATCAGAGTTGAAAAGCATGAAATACTAAATGTTCTTGGAGGCAAAAGAGCCAACCAAAATTAGCACCAAGGAGTAACAATACAGAATTAGGAGACAGTTTCTGGAGTTTCTGTCCTGCATTGATCCAAAAACACGTTGGCAAAAGAGAATTGTGACAAAAATCGCAAGTACAGTGCTAAAATTCAAACTGTAGGTTTACCAGTGTTGAAAACTTTAATTCTGAAGCAAATCTCCCTGCATATCAAAGCAAAAATGATTTGTGAAATATTTTAGCTGTTTCAGTTGTAGTGCAAAAATGAGTTTCAACTGAGCAAAATTTTCCAGTCAGTTCTGATCAAAATATTTCACAGGTAGTAGAAACAGGTGGGTTCCTTAAATTAACACTGACATTCCTGCTGAAAATCTCTGTCTGCTGATGAATTAAATGATAATACACAGAAAAGCTAGTTGGTCACTCTAATATGGGACTGATTTTTTTCTAATGAAATACATTACAGCACTAGAACAGATGGGAATGTGTCACATACCCACCTGAAACAGAAATATTGCAGTTGACAAGGTCCAGCAGGAAGCAACAAAACAGTAAATTTGTCCTTAAGTCAGAGTTTGAGGGAAGCAGCCTGCCTGAGATTCTCTGATTTGGAAGAGATGATGACATAAAAACTGAATGAATCCTGAGAGGGGTTCTATCAAGATACACACTTAGAAATTCTGGCCTTTTCATTGCAAGTGATACAGAGGTAAATAATAATAAGGCAATGGAGAACTTGATCACATCCTTAATCCTGTCACTCAGTTCAACCACTGTAAATTAATTCCCCCACTAAGTAAACAATATTTAAATGAGGTTTCTTTTTTCTTTTTTTCTTTCTTATTTTTTCTTGATTTGTTTTGTTTGTTTTTTTATTTCCAAATACTTAAGCAATGTGTCCCAAAGAAACTAAGTTTACATAACGCTAACAAGAACCCAATATTTTCAGCTGTGGCTGTGGATGGACTGGACCCCATTGTACTACAAGCCAGCAGGGAGTCAGGGAGTCTGCTAATCCCTGCTACAAACAGGTCAGCTGTACTCTCCCCTCTATCAGTGGATGCTTCCTGTAGTTTAGCTGAAAACTACTATTCCTTTTCTCTTTCAAGCTCTTCCAAGCATTAAAACCAAGTCAAAATATGCTTCTTCAGGCCCAGTTTGTTTCCAACCCAACTGAACAGTTAATACTTGTTCAATAAACTCATTGTTATATTAGAAGATGAAATCTACAGAATAATCATAACTCTTCTATGTTTGACCCATTAAGGAAACGGCATGGAAGAGGATTATGAAGCATTCAAACATTGCTAACTAGTCAGAGAAAATACAATGTTAAGAATCAAATCTAGACAAAGTGCATCATTCATCTAGTTAAAGAAATTCCTTCTCCTCAAGACCCAGAAGATTGTGAGCTACATGTGAAGAGAAATACTATTTAGCATCAAGTCTTGTTTCCACTGAAATCACTGATACTGATGAGTGATGTCTTTGGGGAATAGAAAAACAGACTTGCTAAAGTTGTTTGTGTGTTGTTGCTGTTGCTTAATTTCTTTAACTATTAAAAGGACTTTCTTTAAAAATATAAAAAACCTTCCAAAATGCCATGTTTTCACTGTTGCTTCATGAGTCATACCAGATAATAAGCCACAGACTCATGTATACTTGGTTTTAAGCATTGGCTAACAAGTTGATACAACACATCATTTATACAATGATCTGTTTAATACACTACAGCTATAAAATACTTGTCAATTAACAGACCTTAATGACTGACCCAGAACACCTATATCCACATCCTTCAGATATTTTTCACCAAATTTTACACAATTACAAAAATATACCAAATTTTTAGTGAAATCATATTGTATACCCTTCACCCTTTTCTGTGGCCAGCCCTGTAACTAAAGAAAAACCCAAAACCGAAGACCAACCAGCCAAGAAAACTTGTTTTCATCTACTCAGAAACAGGGAGAACTGTAAAGAGAGAAACAACCAGATGTCTTGCTAAGTAATGTCCATTGTACATCAAGCAATTGTTTCAACCTTCTTACTCTACGAAATAACACAACACACGCATAATATTCTCACTCTACCTAGTTGTATTCAGGAAAACGGTCTGGAATATATAGGATGAATTTATGCCCTGAAATCAATGGAATTTTTCTTACAAGATCTAAACAACTTTTAGTCCTTCAGAAAGGTAAACCAAAACAAATTCAGAAATAACCCACACAGGATTTGTTCCCCTTGTTATCATAATATTTATAGATGAACACCGTCAGCATACATTAGACAAATGAATGTGAATGCCAGATCCCCTATGCAAGCACAACTTTGCAGAACAGTTTAAAAGAATTTTGATGGATAAGATAAGCATTTTAACAAGTGGAACTTATCTTTTTACACAGTAGGAGGGGTAAACAAGGATGGATGGGATGTAGCATTTTCTGCATTATTTTTTAAAAATTCCTTGCCTGTTTTAACATTTGCACTCTCATGGTCTGAACCTTTCTTGGGATTTTGCAGCGCTAAAAGGCATTTTAGAGAGCCTATAGAGTAAATTTTACAAGGTCAATTAGAAGGGAAAGGGAAATGTGTGTGATTTTTCCAATGTCATTTCTATGCAGGAGGTGAGCGCAGCTGTACATTGCCATTTTTTTTTCAGCACTTGACTTATTGCTGTTCATATTTTCAATGCAGTTGCATGAGGAAAAGAAGTAGAAACTCTTATTTACTCATTTTTAAAGGCAAGACTCTCTGTTAAAAGGGCCCTCTAACTAGAGGGTTAGTCTCCTAGGCTCTAAATAAGGTCTCCTCTAAATAGATGTTTACATTGTAAATTTCTGCTACTAAACCCAGTTGCCCAAGTTTTATGGGCAACCTGAAATCCAGATGAAGTTTGCTGAAAAAGTGACAGACAAAGCTTGGAAATGTCAATAGAATATCAGATTGCAGGATATCTGCAAGTGGCAGGAATTCAGGTGCACACTCATGGCAAAAAGTGCACGTGGCTTTTGGCAAGATGTCTTTTGCTGGTGTGTATTCTGATCTTATAATACAGAAAACAGAAAGCATTGCCTTGAACAGGAATCAGACTTGCTGAACTATTACCCAGAAATTTTGTCTCATCCAGTGGTGCTCATTCAACTAAGAACAGGCCTCGTGCCAGGTCCTGTGGGAGACCAAGGACACAGAAAGTTGGCTTTGGGTCCAGCAGGCCAATTTGTGACAAATCAAAATCAAAATTGTGACCTCTGTTGGAGTGGAGAATGAGATAAAGTTGCTACCTTCCAGTTGTTCCTGTTTGTCCCTCAAAGCTCTTTGCAAACTGCTAGTTTTGACCACCTTACACTACTCAAATAATACAGTTTGAGGAAACTGCAAGCACACTGACTGCAGATCTGAAATGTGGGTTGCATCTTGCATGCAGTTTTAGAGGACATCTGTCTCCATGACAGAAGAAAGGAGGAAGGACTGCCCTTTTTCTTGCCCTTTTTCTAAGCTGCACTTCTGTGTATGAAAGAGACAAAACATCCTTTGAACTTTCAACCTATAAAAGCAACTCTAGTGGCAAATGACCCTGTCATGGTCCCAGGCTGGGCGAATGGTGAAACTATAAATAAAAGGACATTGTGAGTGTAAATGCAGTGAGTGGGAAAGAACACAGCAACAGCTGGAGCAGACACCTACAGTGACCTTCTGTTTGAAGAGCTCTATAAACAAAATGAGATGGTCTTAAAATGTATAGTGATGTTGTGGCCATCTTTCTCGTGGGCAATCAGAAGGGCAGCCAAAACTAGAGCAACATAAAAATGAGGATCAAACAAGCCATTTGGGCTTTCTCTGCAACTCCTTGTCTGTACAGAACTGTATGGCTGCAACCAGCACTGTCAGCCAACAAACAAGTACTCCAGATGGGTTTCCTCTGTCTCTTATAAAAATAAACCAATATATTAAAAACCAATAAAACTCTCATGCTGACAAATGAATTACCCAGGGATAGCTCTTCAGAAAATTATAGCAATTCTGCAAAGGAGAGAGCCAAAAAACAATTTTCAATGTTTCTTATGTCTCTCCCTCTCTGTGACAAAGATTTATGATAGTCTTTGAAGATACAAGCCATTACATCTCTGTTTAAAACTCCTAAGTGTCATAGAGGTAAAAGGCCTAGCTTTTCAAACACCAGGACAGGTTATTGTCTTTTGTCTTTTTTTAAATTTTTTAAAATTTTATTTTAAATAATGGAGTAAAGACTAATTTAAGGAAAATTAAAAGTGGAACCAAGTTGGTTAGTTCAATGTGTTATAAGATGTATTGCTAAGACTTTTACATCTAACTCCTTCTAACCTTAGGCCAGTTCGTAATCTGCTGTCAGATAGGATAATGTGCTGCTTTTTGAAATTTACCAAAAAGCTAATCAATCAGAATAAATAAATCATGAAGTTGTTTAGGACATAGAGCATTCCAGAATCAATTCCTCCTATTTAGATAGTTTAGAGAGTTATGAAGATGTTCTGAAAATCAACATAGCAAAATGAATGCCCAAATGGAACAAGAACTGATCTTGAAAGGCCTTCTTGAAGTACTACAGCAATACTTGAATATAAAGAGAGAAGCACTAAATCTTAGACGGTGTTCATATTCAGTGGAAATTTACAGATAGGAGAGTAAATTGAGATTTAGTGTATTTTGCAGAAGTGGCTTTTTTGGTTTGTTTGCTTGTTTGCTTATTTGGCTTTAACAACAGTATGGTACAGATTTGCAAAGAGGAGCTAGCTCTGCCTGCACAGCTTGCTAAGGAAATACAAGCAGAAGAAATGAAACAGGACTGCAGTTAGTAGCATTCCATCATTCCTAATCCCCTGGTATTCTGGTTTGATCAATGTTTCACAACTGCAGTACTAAATGTGTTAAATGAGCAGTATACCTGTGCTAGTGATTCTGTCTGCCCTCTGTAACATCTGCTTTGGTATTTTTATCTCATTAAAAAAAAAAAACTTTCCAGTCTGAATGGATGGAAATCTGGTTTTCAATTCAAGTGTATCTTTGGAGAAATGTTTTTCTTACTGTGGGTTTCTGAGTGCTGTTCTCAGGCACACCTGTGGCCCACAGAACTTGGAAAGCCAAACATTGAATGTCTGTAATTACCCACAGCTTAGACTCTTTTAATTTATAGCACCCAGTATCCAAACAGATGTGGCAATATAATTAGGCAAATAATACAATCATTTTGAAAATGGAGCAAGTCTTTTCAATATTATGTCCAATGGACTGTGAAAAAGTATTGTGTAGATATTAAAAAAAAAAAAAAAGCAAACAAGAGTAATATGTCCAGAGCTTCCTGGTGGTTTAAGTGCCTCCACAGCAGATACTCTATGCTTTTCGTTATTGTAATTTTCTCTCTTTCCTTTTGTTTGTGCCATCTACTTGTTGTTAAGGTAGTAGTTTCCAACCTGATACAATAAATAACAGATGACACACTCTGGACTTCAGCCAAAACCTGCCGAAAACAATTCAAATACCTCATCGGGATTTGCCACCTATTTCAGCAAGTTGTGGGAAAGACTGTGACCACAACTAGGCGGAACCATGTCTCGTGGTGCCTCCTTTGGTCTGCGACTAGCTCGGTGTTCAGCACTCTTGACAACAAAGGCCACCCCCTATGACCACCGCAGGTGAGGGGTGTGACCTGTGGGTTCAGCTCGGCCAGACCAGTAAAGGACCTTGTGTGACGGTGATAAAGACACGGGAGTCGTCCTTCTGAGGGTACCGCTGCTCCAAGTTTATTGGCAGCCTGAAAGACCAACCTCAGCTTGAATCAGGTATGCCGCAAAAGGCAACTGAGTACAGCTTGTAGGGGTTTATAGACAGGGGTGGCAGCATGGGAGGGAACAACTGGGGACCAATAGGGAATAACCAGGGAGTGGTGAAGGGAGTGACAATCAAAGGAGGGATCCAATAAGGTGAGAGGGAGGGCGGGGTCCCCAGGGATCAGCCTATCACCTGAGGCCCTGGCTGGAAGGTTCTGGATAGAAGGGAGAGGCCTCAGGGTGACAGACAGGCCCGAGGTGGGGTCAGGGGAATGACTCAGCGGAAGGTTACCCATTAGGGGTGGGGAGAGGGAAGACTGACAGGCGAAAGCGGGAGGAGGAGAAGGAGGGACGGACCATGTAACATAAAGAGGGGGAGAGGGAGAAACCATAATATAGGGGAACTAAAACCACACCCCAACAACCGTGTATAAACCTTATAAGTGTAGCCTGACTTCTGGGGTCACACAAGATACCTCCCCACACCTTGGATTACATGGATAACACTGCTGCTGTCAGCAAAGCTTGGAGCTGTCAGTGAACGGGTGAAAATCCATGGGTGGGTGCAGAAGGTGCAGGAGTGTTTGCAGGACAGGCAAGTCCTTCACCACATGCAGCTACACAGTGCACTGCAGTATGGCCTCAGTTAGGAAGGTGTCCAGTGGAGCGCCTTGTACTCAATCATAATGCAGAGGAATTTACAGCTTTCCTCATCAGGTACCCCTTGCTTTCCAAGGGAAAACAAATATATTTTAAAAAAAATTTTTTTAAAAAAAGAGGCATGTTGAATAGAAAATTTCTGGGTCCATTCCTTGATTTCAGTAGTTGCAGTTTGAAAATCTGCAGACTTTTTCATCCAAGTCTGCCACATCCCTGATAGATGTGCTGGTCTCTTAGGTAAGTACCCTGGACCTGATACTCTGTTGGACTCAGCTGCTAAGGCTCCTTAAAGACAGGTCTTTCCAACTTGTATAGATATAGTTTTGGGTTGACACATACTTTTAAACATGTAAATCAAGGAATGTGCTGGATAGAAGCCATGTATAGAAAAAGAGACAGTGGAAAGAATGATTTTCATTCTAGCAATCTGTAAAGTTAATGGAGGATAAAAACTCATTTGACTCCTAAATAAATTCTAACTGTCAATCTTAAAGTATTTATACAAGACATTCACCAGGATTAATGGTTAATTTCCTTTGAAGAAAAGAAAGGGAACATTAATTCTAAAGGCACTATTTAACTGTTCAATCAAGAGCCAAATGTGATTTGAAAGCCTTAAAAAAACCAACCAAACAACCCACCAACCAACCAAAAAACAAACCTGGTACTTTGATTTTGTTTTTAATCTTCCTCTGCTCTGCTCCTAGAACTACTTTAAAGGTAACTTATTTTTCTGTATTTACAGATTTTTAAGGGCAGATAAAGGTAGTAAAGAGCACACATTCACCTTTTTTTAGCCCATTACAGGCTTTGAAAGTAAACATATATTTTTATAGTGATCCATGTCTAGAAGAGCTCAAGCGACACAGTAATTTAAAAAAGTTTTTAGTATTGGAGAAATACTTGGAGGTAAGCTGTAGCAATATCCAGCACCCTGCTGTGCTAGATAACAAGGGAAAAGACTTGCAGATCCCTGTAAAGGGAGGTAAATGGGAGGATAATTTTAAGACAAATGTTTACCAAAAGTTCTCCTTATCATCACTATAGTTAATCCACTTCTTTACAGGAACAAGAGAGGAGTATAAAATGGTTAGGAAACAGTAAGGCGGCAAGAATCTTTCAATTTTTTACAGTTTTGCAAAAACAGCAATAATGAATTTTGAAATTGTTTTCACTCACCTGTCACTTGCCCAATGGATAAATAATAGATGATAAAACCAGGCCAAAATAATCAGTCTTCTAGAGACTTCCAGAATATTTCCTTCACTGCATAATTTTGGACCCTTACAGGAAAAATAAACTGGACAACCACCAAATCCCAATAGTATGAAAGAATAAAAATAATTTGAGCCAACTTCAAATGAATGAAAGTCTTCAGGGAATGAAAATCACATGAAATTTCTCAGAAACAAAATTTTATTTTTATATTTATTTGGGTTTGGGAGCCTCACCATGTTACTGGCTTTCCAGTCATTTTACCTTCCATCATCATATTTTTTTCCTGAGGAAGTGCATTAAACCTATTTAATTGAAGGCCCAATAGCTAGAAAAGATTTGTACTTTATTATTTTTTATTGAATATAAATAAGATCTGATGCAGGTTTGATGGATAAATTTTAACTGTTTTTTTCCTTATTTTTAATTAAATGCAAATTTAAAAGAAATAAATATTAAAAAATCAAATGAAAAAAAGGTGAATTATACATATAAATAATCCAAATAGAGTCACAAAAACATACATCCACAAAGACATGGGCAATAGCTGTAATTCTATAGCTATAAACACTATTTAACATGATGATACATTTATGGTTGGTTTGGTGTAACTATGTGCAGCACAAACATAGAAAATCTCCTCATTTTCTCAGGCCCTTCATTCCCATCAGACTTTTAGGCAAAGTCAGAGAACGGATCATGGCCCCAGTTTTTGAAATGAAGTTATTAACAATTGTCAGCTGAGCTGATTATATAAAGAAAGATAAAACTAAAACTAGAAAAATGCCTGTGAGAAAAAGGAGAAAGAGCTAAATTAGCCATCACAAACCATAAAGCTCACATCATCTGAAAGAACCTTCAGATTTGCTTAGCTTCTAAGCAAATAGAAGATTAGAAGAGAAGAAATAACTCCAAAAGGCCATCCACTGAAGAAGATCCATTAATTTCTATAGCTGACTTCTTCAACACTTTCTTCTTAAAACTATTTGAGGAAACAATTTGTCTTGTTTAGTTCTCATGAGGCAATGCAGAGAATGTTAAGAAATAAGGACCTTTGCTCAAAAATTTTCTCCATCAAGAGTACAAGGGGATATCACCCTGCTAAAGGCATCAGCCACAAACATTTGAATTTTCAGATTTTCTCACAGCTCAGTGTTGTGTAGATCTTCTAACATAATTGATCAGGGCTCCAAAGACACCTGCACAGACTTGGGTGCTCTGGGGTTTCAGGAGTCTGCTTTCTCCACTTGAAACTCTCAAATAGAGAGCTATAATGCTAGATTTTCCATTGGTAAAAAGTGGTAGATTTACCATTGTCTGTAAGGAATTTGACTCAAGGCATTTTCAGTCAGAGATGTGGTCTCTGCTTCCAGCATCACTTTCTCCTTTCTGTCACTTGGAGGTGTTTGGATAGGGTTTGTTTAGACTTTTGCATCTTCAGACTCAAGACCAATTACCAGCCATGTAATACACAAATTTAGAAAATGTTCTGCTTCACTGGGCTTCTCAGTATCGTATATTTGTTTCTGTATGTAATTTGATAGAAAACCCCCTCCTAAAACCTAACTATAAAGGGATTCTTACTGGTAAGGTTACATGGTATTTCACCTAAAAGCATATATTTAGGGCAACCTTATAAAAGCTACCTATCAGGTGAGAGGAACCTCCCTTGCTGCTGTGCACCAGACTAACCAGAAGTCAAGGCAAAGGAAGCCATACACCTGAATGATTTATTTTGCTTCCTCACCCACATATAAAATGTGTATCTTTCCAGAAACAGGTTTTGTAGGACACTGTAATAAGCATGAGATACAAACAGACTCTCAAGCAAACAAAAATAATTGTGCTTATAATTCCCCATCCACCTTCAGGAAAGGTTAGATCTGGCTTAAGATTTCAAATTATGGTAGCTTTTAATGCTGATGTCTTTAGCATAAAGAATTTTCCTAATATAGAAAAGCTTTGATGTTAAAGAATGGTGTTTCCCTTCATAGTAAAAAATAAGCACTGGCTCCCGGCCAGTGTGTAATGGGAAGCTGCATATGCTAGGAAATCCTGACTCCCAGTGGCAAAGGACTAAAATGCTTCTGAGACACAGTCTGCCTAAATGTAAGATCATTATTGCCAACTCCAGCCATAAAGAATCATGACAACTAAGCATTTAGAAAGAGGGCTTATGATAAAGAAAATTCAGAATCAGCACTCTGGGATCTCAAAAATGCATGATTAAAAAGTTCAAATTAAATGAGTAAATAAGTCCCTCTGCATTTTCTAGCATGTTTTTACAGCTCAGTCTGAATTGATTTTTTAAACAGTAAAGCTTCATGAAAGGCAAGATAGGTTTTAAATTCAAACCATGACTGCTAATGCATGTGACAGCTATGTTTACCTTGGCAATTCACTATATTCTACATGGGTCATTAGATACAATAATTTAAAATCCTTTTTAATGATTTGTGGAATCTGTAGTTGTCTACAATCATCTTCAATTTCCTAGAGAAGACACTCTTCTCCAGGACTGTCCTGACATGATCCATGTTTTACTTTTTGTCTTTCTTTAACTGGGATTCAGAACTGTAGGGTCCATATGAATCAAAAACTCATTCATTCTAAGTATGATTCAAATATGTTAACCCTGGTTTTGATCCAGCAGACGAGAACCAAGATGACAGAGCAGGATGATCTAGCAATTTTTCTGCTAGCTCTGCATGCTCTGTGCAATGCAAGGAGAATAGCAGTATTTCCAGGAATAAATCCAAGATCAAGTGGAGAAAATAGAATACTTTGTAACCAGAGCAGGAAAACTCAGATCATATTTAACAGGTATTATACTGCTGGTAATACTACACATAATTTTAGGACAAGAAACAAATATTTAAGATTCAAGGAGCTGGTAAATTAGGAAATGAATGAATCTTAAATGAATGAGGTCTGTCTCAAAATCATCTGCTGAGACACTGACTAAACACAAGCACTGCCCTGACATAAAAGAAACTGATGAACTATGAACAGAAACAAGAATGGTGACAATGTGAGCCAGAGCACACCCTTCTTATGGCCTCCAACACATGAGAAGTGTGAAGAAGCCAAACCATAAATCTCAGAATATGCCACAGCCTCGTCCATAAACCTGGTATGTCTGAGTTGCTACATCAGTAACAGATGATAAAGCGCATCTGTAGTTACTACACCCCAAAAGTGGAACAAACAAGACTACATCAGTACCTGAAATGCTAACCCTTGAGTAGAGATGTGACAGACTAGCAGCAGACTCACAGATGAGTTACTTCTGTTTCTTCTTGGAAGTCTGGTGAGTTTAAACCCCATCAGCCCAAGAACTCATGGACCAATTGTTACAGAAGCCTGGTACATACAGCAAACTAGATCCAAAATTCCAGTACTCTGACATCACAGCAGTCAGTTAAAAGGTCAGGGTCTTCATCTTCAAAGTCAGTCATTCAAAACAACTCATCTACTCAAAATACATCTAGAGCCTTCAGGGAAGCCTGGATAGTCATTCAGAAGAGGATAAACTCAAGTTCCACATCTGCTTGGCTCTCAATACAAGCTTGTGAAATGAAAGGTCTGTGTCCTGGCATCAACAAAGTAGTGATCTGAGACCTCACGGCTGCCAGGTTCTTCATAAAGCCCCAGGCAGCTTTTGAGCTTCAGAGACTTTGTAAAGTCCTGTACCTAGGCATAAACCTTGGAAACAAGAGTATGGAACCCACAGATACTGTAATCTCTCTCAGGACTTCAGTCTGCTGAGTTTTATTCAATGAACCACCGCCTGGCATCTCTACATAAAATTAAACACAGGAAACCACATTCCACTAGCCTTCCAAAACACAAAACCAGGTCTCCGTAGAATCTTGTAGCAGATGTTACCAAGTAAGGAGTCCTTAAATTAGTTTTGACTCATTATCAGCCCATGCTGGAGCTCAGAACACCAGAAAGAAATTCATCACTTGACGTCAGAACTAACACTACAGAAGACTGTGCCCATCAAACAAGGCTTGCCTTCACATCCGTACAGTACAGCAGCAGAACATCAGAGAATTTTGTATCCTGACATCAGAGCAGCAAGACAGCAGTGCCAACCCAGAACCTCTGAAGGCACACAAATATTAAAACAGCAGGATCAGGTTTATTTATCTACAAGCCACACACAGGTGTGTGCTTCTACTTCAGCCAGCAAGGTAATGTGCCAGACTATGAACTCATGTGGTGTGGGCTTGGGATTTGTCCCACAGAGCAGTAGCTGAGCACAGCTTCAATCAAAGGGACCACCTGGAGAGGATGGTACATCTCAGCTGTGGTAGATAGGGACAGGCGGAGCGGAAGATCACGGAATGTCACGGAAAGATAGACCCCTTCCCCCCCTCTCTCTCCCCTGCTTATCTGCTAACCCCAGGAGTCAGAAAAGAATGTAGCCACACCTGTCCTGGTAAAATTCCACTACCCACTATCCTCCGAGACCCCAAACCCCCCTCTGACGTAGCAAAGACTCCTAAACCTATATAAACCCACGAAATAGGATAATAAAGGCTTTTCAACCGTCTGCCATATTGGCATCTGCGTGTGTTGATTAGCCCGAGTGGCTTGGACGAGACCAGGCCGCCGTGCTGCCATCTGAACCAGGCTCCTGGTTGTCTTTCATAAAGGCAACATACTGGTGCCGAAAACCCGGGACAAAAGAAGAAAAATTTGCCCGGCTGACGGGTTTCACCTGGACAGAAGCAGCGGCCAGGACGGCGGGACCGTACCCAGGCGTAAGGGGAGACGTCCCCCTAGGATCCGCGGGCGTCATGGACGCAATGGCCAGGATCGTGAGTGCTATTTATTCACAGTGGGGTATTGGGTGTAAGCTCAAGGATTTTCATCTTGCCATGGCGAGATTGCTTGAGCTAGGGGCAATCGAGCGTCCCGTGGATGTATTACATCCGGAAATATGGGACAAATGCACTGCCGCGCTAGCCGAAGACACAAAATCCTCCGGCAGCGGCAGAAATCTTAAAGCATGGGGCAGAGTAGAAAAAGCCCTACGCAAAGCGATAGAGGAGCAGGAGACATGGAGCGCGGCGCGCACGTGTTTATTAGTTACTCCTAAACTCGGGGTGGGGGCGGGGACGCAGACTGCCCCTGAGAGCGATCTGCCCGGCAGCGGGGACCCAGGGGGGCTCAGCGCGACACCCGCTCCCCCAGATCAGAGCCCACCCCCCCCCCGCAGGAACCCCCCGCGACACCCCCGCCGCCGAAAATCCCCAAAAACCCCCCCCCGCTCATATCCCCCGAGAGACTGCAAATTCCTCCGAGCCGCCGCCGCCGCCCGCCCGCGATCCAATACCGGAGACGCAAGAGCACGCGGAGCGCTTCTGGCAAGGGCTGCTAAAAGAAGCCAGAGCCGCCGAAACGGCGGTTTGGGAAGACGGCGTGGCCACGCCACCCCCATACCCGTTTGAAAATGGCGCCGCGAGCGGCGGGGAGGGGCGGGGCTCGGGCGGTCCCGGCGCGAACACCCGAGGGGGGGAGCGCGATCTCGGGAATGCGCGCGCGCGGGAGAAAGGGGCGGAGGGCGGCACGGGACACAGAGCCAATCGGCAGCTGCGCCGGGAGCCGCCACCGTATAAGGGAGAAACCACCCCCCGCGGTAGGCGCGGCGAGCCGGGGGGGCGGGAACGGCCCCTCCCCCGAGGGGGGGAGCGAGCCCGGGGCCGAACAAAACGGCAGGGAGCCCCGGAAGTACGCTGGCACTCGTCTTCCGGCTCGGAGAGCAGCAACAGCTCCAGCAGCTCAGGGGAGCTGACGGAAGCTAGCGATGGCTCCGATTCAGACGAAACGGAACCGGCACGGCTTGAAACAAAGCCGGGTAAAGTTCTAAGCCGCACCGAAAAGCGGTCACAATACCCCTTGGAGCTGCGGCAAAAAAGAGCATCTTGCCAAATAATACAGGTCCCAACCCCCGGACACACGAGTGGGGGGGGGGGGGGGGGGGAAGAGCGCGCGCGGGCGAACCCAGCCCCCTCCCACCGCAAATAACGGCGCGCGTGCCGCAAGGTCAGCAAGAGACGCCCCAATACGGGACCCCGGGGTAGCCCTGGCCATGAAAGTGAGGAGAAAGCCCCCGGAGATGTGGGGGACGTGCTGCCTCTGTGGCAGTCAGAACCCCCATGTGGTGAGACCATGAGAGCCACTGCTGCACACCACTGCTAACAACCGAACCTGACCCTCAAAACAAAACTAATGAGAAGCTATGAGTTCTGTTTGCAGGGCACGCTTGTGAACCATCCCAGTGACACACACACCCCTGCTCCAGAAAGAGATAACAGACCACCAAACTGCCAGACAACACCTGAAAATCCCACGGTGGTAAGATCCAAACATGCACAGTGTCTTTCTTCATGCAATTTTACTGTTACAAGCTTGTAGCCAAAGAAACAAGCTAGCCCAGGCCACTACCCTCATCAGCTATTTAAGTGAGTCGTGCAACAAGTAACAAAGTGCTCAAAAAAGTCACCATAATAAATACCCCATCCTTCGTGTTCCATATAGCCAGCCTGTTTAGAAGCTATTTTACTAACCCTAAATGAAACCAAATCAAACCTGACTAACCCATATTAATTTTGCTATAATATTAAACCCCCTTTTTCTACAAAATCATTGTTTTAAATACCCCCTTCAATTACTCCACAACCAGTGTCCCCCACCAGTGCAAGTGAAACACTCCCCACAGAAGACCAATAAATAAATAGTCCCATCCACATTTAAAATGTAAGTTTGCCAAAAACCCAGAGTGAATCCTTATATATTCCTTACCAAGTTTAATAACTCTATCAACTTCTGTGTTCAAGTTCTGATTGTTTCTAAGGTCCTACATCACTCAGACGAAAAAATATACCATCTTCTCGAAGAACCTAACAGACTCCACAAAAGGGAAATCATCACAAGTATAACTATCGCAATGCTGCTCGGCTTAGGAGCAGCTGGCACAGCCACGGGTGTCTCAGCCATCGCAACCCAGCAACACGGACTCTCCCAGCTGCAAATGACCATCGATGAGGACCTGCAGAAGATCGAAAAATCCATCTCCTATCTGGAGAAGTCAGTCTCTTCACTTTCAGAAGTAGTTTTACAAAATAGGCGGGGACTTGACCTTTTGTTTATGCAGCAGGGAGGATTGTGTGCAGCTTTGAAGGAGGAATGCTGCTTTTATGCAGATCATAAAGGAGTCGTTAAAGACTCCATGGCAGAACTCCGAGACAGACTGGCTCAGAGAAAGAGAGACAGGGAGACCCAGCAGAGCTGGTTTGAATCCTGGTTCAATCAATCACCTTGGCTCACCACTTTAATTTCTGCCCTGGTAAGTCCACTGACAATACTGCTTTTGGCTATTACCATAGGACCATGCCTGCTGAACAAACTAGTCTCGTTTGTTCAAGCCCGTCTGGAAAGGGCAAACATTCTGTTCGTAGGCCACCAACAAATGCTATAAACCAAAAAACTGCAAACACAGTCAGTAGCTAAAGCCTTCAGCACCTGCCTTAAAAAATCTACCCTGATCTACTAAACCACCCTTTCCTTAACAAGTTACAAGTCTGTACCTCACTCCAATGCCTCTATCTACAACTACCTCATTTTGTATATGATAAGGAGGGGGGAGGTGTGGTAGATAGGGACAGGCGGAGCGGAAGATCACGGAATGTCACGGAAAGATAGACCCCTTCCCCCCCTCTCTCTCCCCTGCTTATCTGCTAACCCCAGGAGTCAGAAAAGAATGTAGCCACACCTGTCCTGGTAAAATTCCACTACCCACTATCCTCCGAGACCCCAAACCCCCCTCTGACGTAGCAAAGACTCCTAAACCTATATAAACCCACGAAATAGGATAATAAAGGCTTTTCAACCGTCTGCCATATTGGTATCTGCGTGTGTTGATTAGCCCGAGTGGCTTGGACGAGACCAGGCCGCCGTGCTGCCATCTGAACCAGGCTCCTGGTTGTCTTTCATAAAGGCAACACTCAGCATGGAGAAAGATGACTTTCAGTCATCCCACAAATACCAAAAATAATGAACAAATGTTCCACAAAATCTATCCAGCTCTAGGCAAGTTCAAAAAAACAACAGCAGTGGGTTTACTCTTTCTTATGGTATAATACAGCATATAGCTGGCCATTTAATGGCATAACCCATACAGCACAAACAAAGCAGAACAATGACAGAGGCTCAAATCTAGACATTCACAGGTTCTTACAGCCTCCACATGGATAAAATATCACCAGGTGCTCACAAAAAAAAAATTAGTTCAGCTGCATAAGCAGAGGACTTCACCCAGAGACATGAAAAAAATATTTAGGCATTTTTGATGCCTGTTTTCTCTGTATTGATCCCATCCCATTCCCCCTGACCTGTGTATTCTTCAGACCCTTTTCACTTACTTATTAATACTTTAACTCAGTGAGTAGGCAGGAGACAGCATTTTCCCTTCTCTCCCATGTTTGTTTTTTTTTTCACAGCTATGCCAAATGTAAAACTCTAATACCTGGTATTGGTTCTACAATCAATGTTCTTTCAAAAGTAGTTCTTATTTTGCCACTCCCACCAATGGCAGTCGTAAGGCATCTAGGTGTTTAAACAATGCATAATGAAAAGACTAGTGCAAAAAAAATCTTGTAAATCAATTCCATTTTTTTTCTTTCCTTTTATAATCTATGAGCAGAAGGCATCACATCTAAACTCTTGCATGTTACAAGATGTTCTTTGCCATCCAGTAACCTCAGCCCTGAAAACAGCAACTCTTGATTAACTGCTGTTTAGCTTCTAGAAAGGGAGGCAGTTTAGAAAGAAAACACCAAGGAGAAAATGTACTGCTCAGTCACAATAAGTAATAGTAAGGCTATTCAACACAACACAAGGCCAGCCTGCCCTCAGTGCTGACTACCACGGGTTAATAGGAAGGTGCTGCTGCAGTGACTCTGCACAGCAGCAGCTACAGGGCAGCACAGAGATCCTCTTCTTCCTGCAGCCTCCTAGAGCTCCTGATTCTGAATTAAACTATTAGGATTCCTTATACTTTCCATAACTTGTAGTTTATATTAATTTATACGAGTTTCTCCCTTATTGGTTACTTCAGATAAAATTTTCAATATGTGTTTGCAAGTGTAACGGCTAGAAAAATACATTTTGTGTGTTAATACTGGGCCAGCCCATTGCAGATTTGCTGTGAAACTGGGAGAAAAGGGACAATTTAGGAGACTTCCTCCTCTGGACAGACAATAGGCCCTCTTTTGAATCACTCATTTTAATTCCCTGGTTTGATGAGACCACTGAGGCCCGAATGACTTTCCTCTGAAATGTACCAGTGGTTTCCTTTCAGAATCCAATTAAAGCTATTCTGATTATATAGGAGAGAAATATTACAACATAGTCATGTCATTATATAATGATCATGTCATTAGAATAATTTTAATAATGATATGGCCATGTCATTAGAATGATTTTACTAATCTGAAGATGCTGATGGAGGGATAGCAATTGTCATTTTGTTAAGGTAAAATGAAGACTATTTTTCCTGAAGGAATATGCTTTTCCAATCCCATCTCCTGCTCCTGTGACCACTGGAGAAAGCAAAAAGGATATGGATTACATTTGGAGCTCTAGTTTAGCTTCTTCTCTTTGAATTGTTTAATCTTCATCATCTCCATTTCTTGAATAATACAACCTAAATGTCTCCACTGAAGAATAGAATCAGCCTTTTAAATTTTTTATCTTGTGACCTATGCATTTCTTATTCATTCAGCATTTTCTGTCTTT